AGCATCATGGATGTCCCATTGCTCATCATCGATGGTCCCAGTCTCGTTATTAACCTTGATCTTTACACGGCCCTCATAGAGTGAGCTCCTGTTATCCATCTCTAAACTAACCTGCAAATGACCTAATGAAAAAGTAAAGTAAACTTCAAAACTAAAAAAGTTTGTTTCATTGATGTGTAGTATCGTATCGCGAACTGACCTTTTCCAGAATAACAAACCACACCAACATCATTTTTGTGGCTGCATGATTTGGTCTTGTCCAGTCCCTCGCGATCACAATCGACTGTGCTGTTTTCATGCCCTTKGCAGTTCAAGCCAGTAAGCCATATTGGACCGGAACCTTGTGGAAATTTCTTATATGCCGTGATTGCTCCTTGATAACCCTTCATTCTGCAGACCACGCTAGCATCTCGCATGTCCCAGCCATCAGTACACACTGTACCCCATACGCCATGATGTTTAACTTCGACACGACCTTCATGATCATCTGAGCCTGCTACCAAACGAAGTTCTTCCTTTTCATTGTATTCTACACAAAAGGAAAAAAACCTTGGGAACCATGTCTTTTGCAATTTGTATTGTTATAAACAAGCATAGATATAAAGTACTAGCGATGTGAAATGTGAGTCATGCCTTTGAGAATTCTGAGTTCATTCCTCGAACTGCATAATAATGTCTGAACTTCATCAATGAATCTGGTCTATTTTCATTAAGGTGCGAAAGATTCGGTTTTTCAAAGGAGGACTCTATCCTTGAGCCTCCAGTCATAACTGGCATTATGCTATAGTGCAGAACCTCTATGGAAAACACTACGCCACGAATACAAGGTCAGATAATTAATTGGTTATAAGTTAATAATTAAATTAAAAGATAATTAAAAGTTATTATTTAAGGGCTTTAGGCATACCTTTGTCTTCTTTGCATACAATGCCCGCAATTTCATTATTGTAACATCTGTCCACCTGGTTGAGACTTACTTCTTCACATTCGTCTGTAGAACGTACAGAGCCATCACATTTTAGTGACAGAGAAAAACTGGTCTTAGTTTGTTGGCCCCATGAAGAAATAGTCACTGCCTCTTGAGATCCCAGCATGTTGCAAATCACATGTGCTGTATTCAAATCTAAGTTATCATAGCAAAGGTTTCCACTTTTGCCGTAATACTCAACCTCAAGTTTTCCAGCATGTTCAGTTAATCTTTCCTTGAGGTGAAACTGCAATTTTAATTTGTCTGTAAAACAAATTGGAAAAGTGGTAACATTTTTAGTGCATGTAACCTCTTGATCTTCGAAAAATTGCGAAGATTTCCCCCATACATATATATGTTTAAATAGTTTTCACAGACAGGTTATATTTAGTAACTTGAACTAAAAATATGATTTCAATTACCTTTAAAACATATCACGCCAGCACGTAGATCAGTTGAACAAGGCTTATTTTTCCAATTCCACATCACGTTTTTGCAATCATCAATGGTTGTTTCTTTTCCTGAGCAGTCAAGGTAATTCAGCCATACTTTGTCATTGCTCTCTTTCCTTGTTGCCATAGCTACTGATGCTCTTTCATATCCTTTCATCCTGCATACCACGTGTGCATCTCGTATATCCCAGTTGTTGGTACAAATAGATCCCCATATTCCATGGTAACGAACTTCCACTCGACGAATAAAATTTGTGTCTCCCGCCGCCAGGCGAACAGTGATATTTCCTTTACCTTTGATTTAATTAAAGTAATAATATCACTATAGGCTGATAACGACAAGCTGTTACTAAGTGTGACTTCGCTAGTGTATTGAATAAGGAGGCGAAACTTAAAAACTAGGTAGAAAAGTTCGTTGTTAGTTCCTTTTCGGCAAAACTTCAGTATTGTAACTAACTTTTGTTACACGGTATATAAGTTTTCCTCTTATTCGCTTGATATGACTGTAAAATCAAAATTATCTTAGATATTTGGACTCCATTGTTTTATGATCTATTGATCTACATGCCATTCAAGTTTGAAAACATTACCACACCTTTTGGAAGGCAAACAACACCAACATCCTTTTCGTGACTGCAGTTTGGTAAGCTATAATTGGTAACTTGACATTCTGCCATGGACATCTCACATCCCTTACACGAAAGCTGTTGCAGCCATATTGGATAGGATTTACTACCGGCCCCAAAATTCTGTTGTTTTACGGCTTGTTTGTGACCAAGCATTCTACAGATGACATTAGAATTTTCAATTGACCAGCCATAATCACCACACACGGTGCCCCAGGACCCTTCCAGTTTTACTTCGATACGGCCCTCATTTCCATAAGTCCCATTAGCAAGACGCACTACAAAAAGAAGGAAGATACCATTTTACAATCTTTGTTTGGCTCAACTTGGTTAAGCACCGGACTGTTTTGGGGGATTTCATTGGTTCAGACCTCTACCGGAATAACTCGGAAAAGAATAACTACACAGAATGTGCAGTYAAATGGATATACCAATGTGGCTTGTGTTATTGATTTTCCTTTTGATTTGTCAGTTACGTTTTCGGTAAAATGCGTGCGCTCTTCTTTGCCTTACTTATCGGCTGTGGACTTGCGCAAATTATAATATATCTTTCAAGAAAACAATCCGGTAGAAATTCATTCAAAAATGTCTTAAGAAATCAATTACGTACCATTTTTTTCAGGTCCCGAACACACAATACCAACATCATATCTGTGATCTTTGCAAACACGATCATCTTCTTTCACTATGTCATGAGGACACCTTTGAAGAGATGTCTCTTGTCCTGTACATCGTACATGTCTCATCCAAACTTGGCCCTCTCCTCTTGCTTCGTGCCAGAATCCTACCGCTTCACTAAATCCAAGTTGTCTACATGCTATTGTGGTGTCTGTTATATCCCATGTAAAGGGACGATGGCAAACTGTTCCCCACTCGTTATTGTGATAGACCTGTAGAATACCTGCAAAGCTAAGTCCTTGTGTACCCGGCTGCATTCGTAACGTCATCGTATTTTCCTCTCGTGGTCCTGAAATTGTTATGCAAGGTTTTATTGSTTTTGAATCGCCATGGTCGAGGCCATAGTTTTATTTATTAATGATGAAATTATTGACTGGATTAATAGAAAATGTGAGTCTGAAGCAGAGGAGGATCCATTAGTATCCCAGAATGCATAGCGAGTGAGATATGACGTTATTTCATTTAAACAGCTAAAATTAATATTTTCGAAATTGAAAACTCAATTGTACTTAAGTAAAAATCATGTAATACTTTTTAGTGTTATCTATTTCTAAATTATTCGAGAAATTTTAAGATACTCTTTAAAATATTGAATTTTGAGTAATTTCAGGTTCAGTACAGATCCTACAACTGACTACTTCTCTTGTCAAATTAGTCGAAAATGTCTTTATCAAATGCTAAAGCAACACGTTTGTATTAATAATATTAGTGGTAGTAGTATCATTGCGGAAAAAAATGAAATAAACCGGTAAAAGCCAAAGAAAACAATAATAACCGTGCAAGGGCACTTGGGATACTAGTTGATCCTCTAAATCTGAAGTCCATTTTTTTAAAGAAAATTGCATGCATTACAAAAAAAAAGAAATATAGTGTCTTCTTTGGACAGACTGATTTGTTTACAAAATGTAAAATACCACAGACATTGGCTCAAGCTAAAGCTGGTTCTGCCGTCCATGGCTTTTGCCTTTCAAATCAGGCTATGGACTTTAAATGGGGCCATTTGTGATGGTGCTTGTGATCTTTCACCTACATTCTACGCAATTTCAATTTAAAGGAAAAACGAAAATTTATAATTCAAGGCAAACCTGGCCTTTACTTACTTGTCGTATTGAATTCAGAGAAGAATCAAGAAATCATGCAAGTGCTTATTCAATAGATGTATARCCTTACTGAACAATATTGATGAGACAATGCCCTTCTTTGTATTTTATTTTGTGACATACCTGTGTGGCTGGAACACACTACACCAATGTCGTGGATGTGTTTATAACACAGTGGCGAAGAAACTCCCGATTCTTTACGAGTGCACTCTTGCAATGACGTCTCCAATCCTGTACACCTCATCCAGTTTAGTGATACTGGTCCATCTCCATTCCTATATTTCAAAAACCC